TTGCTTTTTCCCAAATTAAGCTTCTAAAGAATAGTAACCTTTTATATACTTTATGCTTACGAATGCCCCACGGTGTCTAGGGCTAAGCAGCACACATGAGGCGCTCAAAACAAAGGAGGAGTGGAAGGGATAAATTTGATTTCAGTAGCTTTAATAACAATGATAATAAACATCTCCTAACGCAGAGCCTGGCACTTAGCGGGTGCTGAGTTAATATCTGTCAAATGGATGAAGATGTAATGTCTCCCAATACTCTTGATAAACTTCGTGACGTCTCGATTCTTTTCAAATCTGACATGCAACTAAAACTTGAACACAAATATATTTATTGCACATTTTGTAGGAAGTCCAACAGTTCATAGTTTCGCACATAACCTATTTCTGTGAAAAGGTCACATAGCAACAAGGCACATCCATCTTTGTCTACTCACCCACAATACTTGCATACTCCCACACTCTACTTTTACAGAATTTCGTATTTTACACCGATTCACACTTTAACTTCCTGAGTGCTTCCTCCCACATGCTCCTGTGCTACGTTTGCTCCACCCCTTGGCTAAGTCAGATCAGAGACTTAACAACGACCGGCACAAGAATTATTTCCAGGAAATGAAGAGAAAGGAGGAGACAACTGGCGAGATAATTTCATGTTTTGATTTTGACTCTTGGCCTTCAGACAAGAATAGTTTTATGGCTTCCAATCTTGGAAAAGTTCAACATCTGACACACTGACATCTGACACCTGAGGTCACACTTATAAATCAGTGCTACTTTACATAACCACGTACAGATAGAAGTAGAAAGCCTAACTTGGGGAATACCACGAAAGCTATAACTTATATTAAGCTTGGATGAGTGACAGCATCTAACACGATGCTTTGAACAAAGAAGTACACAAACTCTTTGTTGAAAGAATGTTGTTTTTAACCACATGAGGAACTTGGAAAACAAAGCTGTTTTATACTATATATTTACTGCTTGTCTGTGTGCAAGGTCTTGAGCCAGTGCTGTATAGGATACAAATAAAGCAACACACTGCTGTGGTATTGGATGAAAAGGGTTATTACCATCCTCAGAGTGTATGAATCTCTTTGGAAAATCATTTGAAGGTGTCCACTAAAGCTGAATAGAAACCTAGACTATGGCACAGTTAAACCCACTCCTAGGCATACACCCAAGAGAAATGAATTCATAAGTATAAGGCATGCAGAAGAATGATCACGGAAATTTATTCATAAACTTCCCAAACAGGAAACAACCCAAATCTCCAAACAGAAGAGAATACAAGCAAATGATGGTATATTTATACAATAGAATACTTCACAGCAATAAAAAATAATTGAACTAATGCCACATACAATGTTATGAATGAATCTCACAGATACAATGATGAGCAAAAGAAGCCAGACACAAAGCAAAACATACTGTATGATTCCATTTATATGATGTTTAAGAAGAGGCAAAACTAGTATATAGTAATAAGCAGACTAGTGGTTAACTTTGGTGGGAGCAAAGACTAGGAGGTCTCAAGGGAGATATCTGGGTTGCAGAAAATTTATCTTGATCTGAGTAGGAATATGGCAGGAATGGAGAAGAGATATTTAAAAGAGATTAACTCTCAAACTGACAAAGAGAATACAGGAGGAGAATTAAGATAGGGAGAAGAATGATGAATTCAGTTCCGAACCTGTTGGTTATAGGCATATGTAAAAGAATCCCCGAGCTGCACGGTGAATATTACTGTACACTGAATATTAGTGCACGTGGAGTGCCAGTTCTCATAGTTAGGCAGTGATGACAGAGTTAGGATCAAGTGTCCACCATTAACCCACACAGTCCATTGATGAAAATCACGTGGCCTAGTTACCAAGCATTACTTTGAATATATCCAAAGTGTGAATTAACACGGCATAGTTCCTGCCTTGTTAGGTCTTACTGCTTAATGTGATCATAACGTCAGCGGGGAATTCTAAATTTTCTACGCAAAATATTTTATGATGAGAAGATATTCAACAAATACCTGTTAATGGCCTAGTTCCAAGTGACAGGTACAGCCTACAAATGCTCTAAGAGTAGAGAAGTTGGAGAAACCATCGTGAGCTGGTGGCTCAAAGTTTCTCGAAGGACATGGGAACTGAGCCAGACTCTGAAAGGTTAGGAACAGAAGCAGGGGTTGCAAAGTGTGGCCTATACTAAAAGTTCATTTGATTTGTTAGCTCAAATGGTACAGACTTTCAAGAAGCAATGTGATTAGGAAGATTTGTTGACAGCAACGACCTTGTATCATGCTTTGTGAATATGTGCTAGTTTCCTAGGCATCTGAATATAGGAGAGTCCCTGCTAAGGGAAGAACATAAAGAGCAGATCAACAGAGGGTCTAAGTGAATTATTAGGTTCAAAAATAGTTGGGGCCAAATTGCAGAGTGCCATGCACGCCACACTGAACACATTCTGCAGCCAGTAATAGACGAGAGCACGACATCCATGTTTTGCAACTCAGTAGTGCTGGGCCAACTGTGCGACTAGCATTAATAACAATGAAGGCTGCAAGCAGCTTCTGGTTCTTTGAATGTGATGCCAAACATCTGGACCTGGAAGTGAATTTCTAACTGCTTTCTTTCAGGTGACATCTGAACTCTTGCTATTTGGCAGACACAGCTTCCATTTAGACACCTAAAGGAGGACAGCTTCTACAATATAGGCTAAAAAACTGTAAGATGCGTAAATATTAGAGGAATGCCAAAAGAATTAGAAAATAAAGCTATAGATACCAATTACAAACAATCTCAGTGGTGTTTATTACGGAAATAAAGTTGTTTGAAGCTAATAATTCATTCTTCCAGATATTGCTGGCTTGAGGAAGAGTACAGCAATTTTACTCAGTGATTTTACACTATTCAAAGGGTAGGTAAGACAGTTCTTTGCCACTATCCACTTCATCAAGGGCTGGTCATAGTCTATTAATAACCATAATTTGTACACACATGTATATTGACAGATTCTCGAAATATTTAATAAATTGTTACACTGAAGGTCAATAACCAGAAGTTGTCCTAAGTTCTCCTTTGACGTTACAAAACAAACTCTCGTGCTTCTTTATCTGTGGCTTGACTATAATTTTCTTATTAGCATAACCTTTGGTAGAAATAAACTCTAGTTCAGCCTTATTTTTTATTTGATAGAATTATTAAAGGTAGTGGTATAAAAGTAGAAATCCTACCGCAAACTGGGCTATATAATGGATTTTAGCAGAAATAGAGAACCCTGACCACTTAAAAATATTAAGACTAGAGATATGAACTCATGGTTACAAATACATAAAGATATATATAGAAAGAGATATAAATTCGTGTGGACAAATATATTGCTGCATCTATTTCCTAGCTGAGTCTGCTGAGAGGACTTGGAAGCAATGATAGACCAGTAGCAATGAGCATACCCAGAACTGAGATCTCAGTCTTCAAATATCATTCTCCACTAAAAGGAACCAAGGACCTTTGAGATCCTTTGAGAGATGGCTGGTTCCAGGAATGGAGCAATGAAAATGCAAAATGAGCCTGGAACATATTTTTAAGCCAGAAGGTAAAGAAGTACACAAAGAATCATAGGGGTATGTCAAAAAGACAAATGAGCCCTCTTGAAGGGTGTACCCTACCCAAAGCGGGGACAACTAAAGCACCAAAATGAATAATGAAAGTAGTGAATCATAACCCATTAAATAGAATAAGAACTCATAAGCCTAGATAGACCGATAGATAGATAGATAGATAGATAGATAGATAGACAGACAGATAGATAGAAAAGAAGAGAAAGTTCTTCCTTACATAGGAAGCCAACCAATAAATGTACAAGGAATGATGGAATTAGAAAAATCACCTTTTGATGACAGTCATACTAATAATTGATTTGGGCAAGAATCATCGAGAGATGCAAAACTAGTAGGTGAAAATTTCAGGAGGAATAGAAGAGTTAAACAGTCTCAGGGTATCTCCCCATAAGGTGCTTATTAATTTGAAACAGAAAATAATAACTTCACAGAGCAGAGACCAACCAGGGATTTACCACCTCAGCCAGGTGATCAAAGTTAGTAACACCAGCAACGAGACAGCTCGACATCAAGTGCTCCTGACATGATGTTTTATATATATATACATACATATACAAAATAAAAGCTCAACAGTAATTGCAGCAATTGCTCAAAATATTGACACCAACAAAATATTTGGCAGGGGGAGGATTTGGTTTTGCTTTTTGGTTTTCAATAAACTCTGTTTTTGCCTTAAGACTTTTTAAGTTTATTTTTATTATGCCTATTTATCAAATTTCTTAGATGTTTTATTCAGTTATATTCACACAAAGTTAGTAGTCCAGAATTCAAATGCCATCTAAACCATTTTCTAGAGTACAGCAATCAAGCAGGACAGGGTAGGAGTTGCATATGTGGTCAGTTTTGTTTTTTTTTTAAAAACAAACCTCTCCTCATATATGGGTATTTCCTAAATATTCACCTTGCTTTTTAAAAACCAGATGATCAGCGTATGTCACACGTCCCTCTTCGCTTCTCTGCTGACGGGAAACAGTGGACCTCAGTGCCCTCCTGCAGCAACTACATTTCACTGCGTAAGTGTATATTCTTTCTATCATTGGATGACAAGATCTTTTACCTTCATTTTATGGAAGGAAATGTTGCATATTCAGTAACGAAAGCAATCTCCTCTTTTACTTCATTTACCAACTCATGGAAGGTACTTAACTAACTGCATATACACAAAGATTTATTATGCTATAAAAGTATCAGAACCTGCACTACCGCATTGGTCCAGGATGACATAAGCCCGTGGAAGAGAAGGTAGAGACTACTTTACCTTAAAGTGCTTCAAACTGTACATGCCTACAGGTTACATGTCATAAATTATTTTAATAATGGTATTAGCTTCATCTGCATTTTAAGTAGATGATGATTCAGTTCTTACTATAGTAATATATAAAGAGAAATATACCTCATGCAGACAAATGAAAGCTGGAGTTGTAGATAAATCAACCAACCGCTCATCTCGGATGTTAATTGTGGGCGCTATGGCATAAATGGGGTGTTCTTGATCCTTTTCATCTTTCTCCTCTCCCTCTTCTTGTTCTGTGTCTGTGGTGCTGTCTTCCATTTTTCACAATTCTAAAATAAAACGATTCCATATTCAGCTATTCAGGGATATCTTCACTTATAAAGTAAAATTAATGGAAAATCACAGAAGCAAGAAAAACTTAACTGGAATGTTATTCTCCAGTGAAACGATAGGTCAGGAAAGTTAGATATAATCACGTCATTATAAAAGACTGCTTTGTTGTAAATATACTCTCCATTGCTACACTCGAGTCAATAATTCTAAGTTTTAAAAGCAGGCTATTGTTACATTAATTAGAGAAAAATTATATAACTAGAATGTAAGCTCCATGAGGGTAGAAACCTAATGTTGTTTACTAAGCATTATAGTAGGCACTCAATTACTATTCATTGATTGGGTAAATAAGCATAAACTTCACCCTTGAAGTACAACACAAAGTTAATTCAATTATTTTTGGAAAAATAAAAACCAATACCCTGTGTGCCCCATACTGCCTGAGGCATGTACCTGCACACCAGGTCATCAGGCTAATTGCTCAGTACCCACACTGCTTGCTGTGGTCACAGCTCAGGCCTGTGCTTGTGCGCACTGCCACCTGGCCTATCTCTGCTGCTCATGTGCATACTCAATTGTCCCAGCAGACTGCACTTACAAAACACAAGCTCAAAAATAAAATTATTAAGAATTTCAAGATGGTGACACCAGAGCACTAACCAAGTGCAGGGCCCTTCTGAGAACAGGCCGTTGTGTGCCTGCACAGGTCACACACCCATGAAGCCAGCCCTATGGACTGGCCATTGATGTGCTCATGTATTCAAGTGGACCCAGAGCAGTTTCTGAAATGACCTGCATCTTGGCCTGCAAGGTCTCTATTGGCCTACATTGGTGGCATTGGGGTGGCTTCCCTTCCAAGAAAGAGCTGGTAAGGGGCCTCCATTACACAACAGAACGTCATTTAATTATTTGCTCTTTTGATCTCTGTAATATATGAATCAGCACTCAACAGAAGAGTACATGTGCACTCATCTCTTGCCAAAGTAGGTATCTCCAACTGTATAATTTTAAGGTCTGGATCTTCTGCTGAACATGTATCATCTCTCATGTCTGTCTTATCAGATTAGCTGCTCCTTGACAACAGAGATCTCATTCTTTCAATATGGAAAGCATGTTCTATAATATGAATCCAGAAGGCATGGTAGGCTCTGGTTCTTGAGTTTATTAGTCAAGTGGCCACAGGCGTGTCATTTATTCATTGTCTTCTTCCTCCTCTCTAAAACCGGAGTAACAGTAACTAACTTTTCTGCTTCATAAAGAATACATGCAGATTAAATGTGATAATCCCTCTGGACTTCCAGCTCCCATTTTTCTGCCGCAGTCATATCCCCAGTTCTCTGCCCCAGACGTGTACCACACAGGCACTGTGCCTACTCTACAAGACAGCTTCATCGGTGGCAGCACGTCCTTTCACCACGAGGCCCCAAATGTCTGGCTGTCTTTCTTCATGTGATATTAATAGCCACTGATACCGTTTGAATTTCACCACCTTTAACATGCATCCTTTTTCAATGCCATAAAGCAACTTTTAAAAAGAACCGATCACTACTAAGGTATCACAACACTTTACATTTGGTTAGTAATCACAGTTTATTGTTTACATTTTCAGGGAGCTGGAAATGGCTTAGTTATATATCAGATTTGTTTGTTAATAAGCTAAAATTTGTATGTTCAATCATTTCATGGATGTCAAATGTTAATGACTATCCCAGAAAAATATTTCCTTCACAACATTAGACCATATGCTATTTTTAGCTTTTTCTGTAAGAAATATTTCAAATATAAACAAAAGTAGCAGAATAGTATGATGAATCCTCAAGTATCCATCAACCAGCTTCAACAAATATCAATTCATGAGCAATTTTGTTTTATCCAAACCCTCCCATTCCCCTCACCCCTCTCCATATTATTTTGAAGCAAAACCTAGACACCTACACTTAATAATATATCCTGAAGAACGCCATAATAATAGACAGAGATAGTCCTCATTCCATTTCACAGCTGCACAGCCCTTCTTTGCATAGACGCACCACAGGTTATTCAAACAATCCCCAGTTTATAAACATATGGAAGCTTTCCAGCTTTCAGTCGTTACAGTTTTGCAAAGTATAGTCATCTATCAGTTTAAAAATATTTTTTAAAGGCTCTTGGAATCTGTATAATCAAGACGGCATTAACTTTGAAAACTTAAGTTCAGGCAATCTTCTCAAAGCACTGCACCTTTCAATATGATACAGCTTACCCAGGCAACAAAAGACAGGTACTCTGCTGAATTTGTACAAATTTCTGTCTGCTGAAGTTTTCAACCTCTATTGTCTTGAAAACATTCTCAATATTGTAAAGCAGATAAAACAGTTTACATAGGGAAGCAACTAAAAGACACTATAACAGAGTCCTGACAGATAGACATTATCGGACAAACTTGAACTCTTAGAAAAGAAAGGGAGAGTGAATAGGAAAGGAAGAAAACACAACAGAGGCAAATACCAAAGTCTCGTGCGAATTAAAACCTAAAACACTAATTAATCTAATTAAGTGAGAGGTTGGAAAGGGCTTAAGTAGACAACAAAGTTTAAAAGATAAATATTCAAGGATTAGTTAATATAGGATTGCAAAGCCCATTGTATTAATTATTACCATGCTGCAGGCAATGTGATTGACAGCTGTAAATAAAACAATGGAATAAAATACATTCTTAGTCTATGGTGATGTAAACAAGGGAATATTTATAAAACATCTTAAATTCATTGTGTAGGGAGAACTACATAGCCATCAAGTATAGTAATTCTAGAGACTATGTCTTTACAATACCCAAATCAACTAAGCAAATACTTATTGAGTTGTTTTATGAAGACCAAGAGTTTACAAAGAGGCAAGGGGTTTACAATCTAAAGAGGAAGCAAGGCAGGGAAATAACTAGCTCCACATCATAAAGGTAAGGCAAAATAAGCGTAAATAAGAAGCAATGTTCTCCAGAAGGTAAATAGGCTTAAAAAGCAGAGTGTAGCCTAGAATTTAGCTTTTAATCTACAGGTGTTGGGAGCCACTACGTTTTTTTGCAGAGATGAGTGGCATGAGCTTGTAAAGATGTTAGTGACCATTAGAGGAATGGTTTGGAAAGGGGGCGAATTTGGAGGCAAGGACACAATCTCGAGGCTTGAGCCAGCCACTGTGCTGTGGGTGGGAGACAGACTCAGTGGTGAGCAAAATCAGACGACCCCAGGGGGGCTCACAGACTGGTGGGCAAGACAGAAATTAATCAAAGAATCGCAGAGATCAATGAAAACGTGTCACTGAAATAGGTGCTACGAAAGCGTGGACGGCAGGAGCCGGGCGGCTTTGCACCACACACACGGCGGCCGCTGTTCGCAGAGCAGGTTCTGCAGCGAAGCAGCCCCCAGTGGAAGGTTCGAGGACGAGGGCCTGCACCAACACGGTACTATGGTGTGCTGCAGGAGTCCGAGGAAGGGAGGACATGGCTTTACGAGGCTTTCTAGAAGGGAGAGGACATGTACTGAGCTTTGACACAGAAAAGTGAAAGGCCCGCCAACGAGAAAGGCAGGTCAATAGAAGCTTTCATCCTATTCCAGAAGAGCACTGAACTCACACTTCGTTTCGGAGTTAAAGGAGAAAGCCAAAGTAGGAAGCTTCACAAAGAAAAGTGAAGCAATCAGCATTGCAGGGCATGCCTTGTTTTGTAAGACGCACCACTACTTCCTCTTCTCTACTGCTGAAGACGGGATGGTCGTTTTGTTTTGATTTTGCACTCTTAAGGAAATGTTTTTTGACTGTTACAAGGACCACAGGAGAAAAACAAACACCCCATGCGGCAGAGAGTGGGGCAATGTACACAGTGATGTGGCTTTGTCAAGGTGAAGTGGAGTTCTTGCTCCAAGAAAGACGCAGCAGGAAACCATGCCGCCTTCTGATATGACTTGTCACCGAACGAACACAAGTGTTAGTGTAACGTACAGTCAAGCATGATATTTGTCTCCTCCTCCCATACAGAACCGAGGGTTCTTCCTCACAATTAGCCCTTCCTGCCGCCCCGGAGACATGATCACTGCTCCCTTCCCCAGCAGCCCACTGCCGCAGGAGGTTAGTTTCATGACTGTTTCCATGGTAACTCAGAGCCAGACCTCCTGCAGCCAGGGAGAAGTTTGGGACACTCATGTGTTTTGCTTGTTTCAGTTTCCTGTATTTATTTAAAAACATAGAAACGACAAAACAGGTTACACAAATTGTGGTGTATTTAAAGTTCTATCATGAGTGCCTCTCAATCCTGTGAGTGCGTCTCTGTGATTTTCAGTATGTTCTCTCTTGGAGGTAACGTTAAAAGTCTACATTTGAAGGTGCTTTTGAAAGGCCTCTGGTCCACAATATGACAGGCTCAGAAAATTGGGCAGCCCCTCTGACATGCAGCCTACAGTTAGCTCAGATCCGCTTAATCCAGCAACAGCCGCATCTTCATCACAGACTACCAACTTGGCAGTCTTAAATGCAACAGATACAATGATTGCACGTATTTATGTCCAGACCTTTTATTCTATGTACAATTATACAATAACCATTATTACCGTACTAACACTGGACTTGAAACATTTTTTTAAAGATTTAGATACAGATTTCAGGGGATATTTTTAAAAAGAGGGAATAGAAAAGCTTTGTCATTCAAAGACCCAACAAATCAAACCACAACTTCTTTCTGTTCCTGAAAACATGATTAAGAAAAAACCCTACTCAAAGAAGAATCCTGCATAAAAAAAAAAAAAAGATTCCAGCACAGAAAAAATAAAACCACTGCAGTATGTACCGATAAAATTTGCCTCACAATTGAAGTATTAAAGTTACCATGTGGTTTGGACTACCTTTCATTAAAGACATACATACACACAAAAGCAAAGCAAACTCTTGAGAGGAAGCTCCAGGTGCCTATCAGCCTTTAAAGTAAACGCTCACAGTATCAGACAGTGAAATCTTAAACTACATGCATGTG